AGCTTTCTTCAGCTGCCTATAGGCAGCAATGCAATTTGTAGGGTTTGTGAAACTCTGCAAGAATTTTATATTCCAAAGAAACATCTTTGCTCCTGCATCTTTCAACAAGCATGGCTGCACAGTGTGATCATCACCTTTCTAATGGTCTGAATTTTAAAATAAATGATCTTGTCACTGATGGGAAGGATGAAGAGAAAGCTGCAGAACGCAACTGAGGAAGGGCAATGAAGGCCCTCCCATGATTTTTCAAGCTGATTTTGTCATGGACAATACATTATCAGGAATGCTTGTATGTAGTACTTCACCAAGTTTTCCTGGTGTGAAGCACTTCCAGTGTCAGGCAGAGCTTCAGACAACACTTCAGCACACGCACTCAATGCACACACGGACTAACACGTGCACTTCAGCCATGTGTGTCCACAAAGAATCCAAAGTAATGGCAAATAGCAGCCCAATGCCATACTACGGAGGAAGGAGGAAAGTTGTAAGAGGCGTTATCTGGAATGAAAAGATTTTTTTTCCCCCCCCCCCTCCAAAAACTAGGTCAAGGACAATCTGATCTAAATTTCTGTACACAGAAAAAGCAGTGGATGAAACTGGCTCATAACCTCATACTACCAGCAACGGTGCTGGCTCATCTGCAAGGATGGAGCTGGGTGATTTTAATGACAATTCAAGCTTATGCAGAGCTCTGGAGTAGAAATCTAAAACCAAGCCCCTCCAAAGGCCAGATGTGTTTAACTTCCAAGGTTGTGGTTTTGAGTCTTTCTCTTTTCAGGTTGTGGAAATGTCGAGATCAAACTGAAACAGCTCCAGGATTTTCACAGAGGACAAAGAAGCATCCCTGCACGTTCAGCACGTTATGCTCAAGAGAATCTCCCTACAAAAAAGGAAAAGCTAACCTACAACCTCCACCTCGAGCACTAGGCCTGCAGATCTGGGTAGAGCCTCCATGCAGCTCTTTGAAAAGTATCTGTCTGGGGGGTCCAATCTCTGAACTGTGGCCAGCCCTCAAGCACAGTCACTCCTCAGGCAACTATGGTCCTCTGACATGGGGCAGGACAATCCAGCTCAGACACAGGGGAGAGCTTCCAGTGGGAGGCTTGGGGACATTCATCCAGGCCATGAAGAGCAAAACACAGATACCAACAGGCAGGAATTGAGCTGCATCTTCCTATCCTTCTGTAACAAGATCTCCAGTGTCAGCTTTGAGGGACTGAACTCTGCTTTATGCAGCAGCTAATCTTTAGCTCAGGGCTACTCCCTCCCAGAAGTGTCTCTCTGGCTTTTGTCTCACACAGTCCTGTACAACCATTTCTAGCAGGCTATGTTTGGGTGTTTATCTGCCAAAGTGATTCAATCCATCCTGAAATGGCAGTGCCTTTCCTCCTCATCTGGTGGTCCAAATCCACCACCACGTCACTGACATTTTCAGTGTCAGAGCTTTCCCAGTTTGACTTTTGCTTGCTCTTAAGGAAGTGTCTTAAACTAAGCTCTCCATGTCCTTTCCACTAATGCTGCTTTCTCTGGAGTACCTCGTCTCTGGTCTTTGGTTTGGTAATGACCCAAGTTCGCTGCACGACAGCAGGAACCATGGGGAAGAGCAAGCGCAGAGCAATTCTCTGCCTGTTCTCGCAGGTCTGCCTTGCCAGCATGGAAATGCTGCCGCTTCTCCACTCTCCATCCAATTCTCAACAGTACAGCTGATAAAGACATTTAAAGGCATGAAAGGAAATGAAAGTGCTCTGTCCCACTGGAAGCCACCAGGAGCTGGGTATCAAACCTTCATTTGTGCTTTGGGAAGTCTTCCTCCACGGCTTTAGTGCAGCAGTGAACAACTGATGTGCAATCTATTCACTGTTCTTCCCCGCTTATTTCACAGCTTGAAGATTGGCAATAAAACTAGGGACTTCAGCTCAGCAGTTTTGCACAATTTGCCAGTTTTTGTTGCCTTTCTGTGTTCCGGCATCAGGATTTCTGCAAATTTTATTTTTATTTCTATTGTCAGCATCCCTGCACACAAATGGGAACAAAGTGCCACCCTCCAGGACATCAGCATCAGTGCTGACTGGTGACAGAGCTCCCACATAAACTCTCACATCTGGACCCTTCTAGGAACAGACATTTTAAAAACCATCTATGAGACAAAAGGAATTCCTTATATCTGATGCTGTTCTTGTAGGTATTGGCTATTTTTTCTGTAATCTTTTCATTTCCCTAGTATCTGGTCCTTTTGCACAGCCTGGGAACCTGCAAGACCATTTTATCCAACAGTGCAAAGTAGAAGGTAGGGGCAGAAGGCATGTTTCCTACTCTGAGACCTGCCCTATATTTCTATTAAATTTTCGGAGAGTTTTTCTGGCCAAATTACTCAAATTACAAATTGCTATCTGGTTTATCCGGGTTGTCACAGCTTCTGAGGCCAAGACTGTCACTCTACAGTGACTCTACAGAAAATTCGTCTGTTTAATTACCTCAGTTTCCCTGTTCGTAAAGGGAGGCTAAGATCTTCCTCCATTTCTCAACTCATTAAAATTTGTAAATTGTTCTGAGATTATGGGATAGTTGGAACTATTTATAGAAATGCAAAATGGCATTTCTATTAGGTTCAAGTTGCCATGCAATTAAAATATACTGAGCATCACAATATGTAGCAAATGGGACATCTTGTTTTACATCAGCCAAGAAACACTAAGTGGCTCTGTGCTTCCTAGTTGCTTATTTTATACTTTTTGCCCTGAGAAACTCATTAAGGAAATGTACTAGGCCAGACTGTGATGTTTAGCAAAAGTCATAATCTCTTGCGAAGTTCCCAGCCCACAGGGAAAAGGATGTCCGTGTGGACAAATCAAGCTCCTCTCCCCTCAGCTCTACGAAATGCAGAGCTTTACGACTTGCTGTCAAAAGAGAGGGACGTGAAGCAGTTACAGTCCTTCTGCACCTCTTAAAGGAGATTTCCATTCTGTCGCCATATATAAAGAACGGCTTCTGCTCTCAGCCCTTCCAGAGAAGGGGAACAGAAGATCTTTTGAATCTCAGCTTTCCTCAGCTGCCTTCTATGGAGTGACCAGGGAGAACTTTTACTGGCTCATTCTCCTACAAATGAATTTATTTTGATTCCTTCCAAAGGGTTGCATAGAGTCTATGCTCATTTCTGTCTGGGAGAGCTTTGTGAGAGGCCATTTGGACAAGGCCGCTGCAGTAATTCATGCCATTTGCAGACAATTTGTAAACCCTCACAGTGTCCCAGAATGATTCATTATTTTTCTAAAAATATGAAGCCGTGTATGTGTGTGTGTTTGTGAATATGCATGCTCATGAAGAGTGAAGACAGGCAGCTCCCCTAGGCCCAGAGGCAGGAATAAAGAACAGCACAGATTTCTTTTGTCATGTAGGGGGCTTTGTGATACTGCAGTTATTTTACCACTCCACATTTTGGGTTTTAACTGCTGAAGCCAAAGCAGAAGGCAGCAGACATATATGTTTCCAGGTCTCCTATAACAGACTCTGGAAGACCCAGTCTAGCATGTCCCGAAAGTATAATTCTAAGTAAATAACTTATTCTAACTATGATCATTGGCCTTGGCTTCAGCCACCCAGGAGAAGAGCAATTAAAATCACCCCTCATCCTAGATTACAAAGCCTAAACTTAATTTCTGTTAAGTTTTAAATAAGATTAGTTTTCTATAAGCTTTCAAACCAAACAGCACCTTGCTGGTAGCTTCTCGATGAAGATAACATTAACCCAAGCAAGTTCAGAACAAGGAATCTACAAATCCTAGGATTTGGAATTACTTCCTAAAAGCTATCCCAAATATACTCTATAAATACCCTTCCAATACAAACTAATCCCAAAGAGAAGCCTCATGGGAGCAAAAATCAGAACAATTGCTGGAACAAATGTTCAGTATTTGCTCAGGACTGCAGTCCAAGCCCTCATTTCACTAGTTATACTAAGTCTGGAACATTTTAGTATTGAGTGCCTATACCAGAACGTCTCCCCTTTTCACGTTATTTAGGCTATTACTGCAGGTGATAAAAATTATTTGCTCTTTGCTGTTACAGACAGAGTTGGGTGAGAAATGTTACTTAGTTCCCAGCTGAACAATTAGAAGACCATACCAACGTTTATTATGGTGCATGAGAAAAAAAGAACAGCAATCAAATCCTTTTGATGCTTTTCATGACTAAAATGCTTTTCTGGTAAAAGTAAAGTTGACTGGGCATTCCTTGGGAGCAACTGACTGTCAGGGAGACCAGTAGAGAAAGGACTGTTGGTTATAACAAGTTTTAAAAGGAAGTATCCATCCTTCACCAGGTAAGACACTTTCCTCTCCCTGACTGCCCCGTGATCATTCCCTTTGCTATTATACCTGCATACCCAACAGTACCTCCCTCAAAAGTTTTTCTTAGTCTGATTTGGCTGGCTAAGAAAATGTCAGCTGAAAGAGTAAATCTGTGAAGGCTGCAAGTACAAACACTCACCCAGATTTTAAAAAACTATCCTGTTCTGTGCTTGTAGAAACCAGTCTCCCCACAAGCTACGAAAAGAGTCCAAATCCCACATGAAGGGAAAAGAAAGTCATGTAAGAGGTAAAAGAAATCCAAAGCAAACATGAATATTAGCTTTGTTGTACAGTCCTGTAAAACAAGTTGGGTAAAGCTACTCTTTTGGTTGGTGTTGTTATCAACATCTCTTGCCACACTACTGTGACCCTTTTAACTTTAATTTCACCACTACGCATCAGCTTCTGTTGTCTCTCCAGCTTATTATTAGCATTAGTATTAAGCTGTTCTAGCAGGAGATGTGATTAGCTTGTGTGTTTTTAATCCATGTTTCCACAGTGGAAAAAAAAACCTGAGATACATAATACAAATAATAATAATCCTATACAAACTAAACAAGCTTTGGGTCAACTGTGCAAAAATATTATTGCAAGCTTTGTGTCTTATGGGATGGGAATGAGGCTGATTTCTTTAAAACACATAATTTATCCTACCTTGCTGGCTTTCAGTATCTCAAACATCAGAGGCAACCCTTGTGTGATGAGCTCCTCTGTGTACTCTTCTTCCTGAATGGACTTGAATTCCTTTAGCAAGCACTGGATGAGGGGTCTTCTGTGCTGCTGGAAGGACGTACGCAAGGACTCCAGCCACGTGTGCAGCGTCCAAGGAACACCTATAGATGGAGGACAGAGCTCATTCCCAGCTTCAGGGAAGGATGTGCCCTTCTGCTTTTTTACCTTTACTTATGCTGATTTTAAGCAAAAGCAGCCAAATAGCCCTAGAAATCAAATTCCTATTTATCCTCAATTGAGAAGGCTGGTGGTTATCAGGACATCCCACACCTAATGCACAGAGGCTTTCTTCCAAATACTAAGAGAAGACCGTGGTCTCTATGCTCATCCAGCTTTCAGCTTCTCTGCTGAGACTGCCAATTTGTGGTAATTGCTGTGGTGTTCTGTGATGCAAAAGCCTTTTGGATACTAGATTTACACTAGCTCATTTGTTTGAATGTAGCCCTGGAGAGCCATTAAATGGGAAAAATAACGGATTTTGGTCACTACCCACCTGGATTCAAACTGGTGGTCTTCAGATTAAAACTTTAAGTGCTACCCCATGTCCTCTACTGATCATTACTATTTTCCCTGAATATCACTGGGAAAATTAAACAGACCAGCCTTTTCAAGTAGTTTGTCATGGCAGAACCACTCTCCAGGAACTTAAAGGGAACTGTTCCCATGCACTGAGTGAGAAAGAACATGGAGCTAATGTACCTCTGCAAGCATTAGGCTGGGTGTGACCTAGTTTTTGCTCTTGCAGAATGGAGTGGGAGGAAATGCAATCCTGGTATTTGGCTACAAAAGATTCTTCCTTCTATTTCAGCCAGTGTCCAGTGCCTGGAGAGCAGTCCCATCACTCTCCTCTCATTCATTGCCAGGTTTTTGCCTGCTCAGCCCACCCGGTGAGCCACTCAGACCACCGCACACCCTGACCCACACATGTCCCAGGGCTGGAGCACCACAACAGGCAGAGCCATGCCAGGCACTTGGGTCTCTCTCTGAACGCATTATCAGTGGGGATGGCAAATACACAGTCCAGATGGATTCCCCTCCATGCTACCCAACCAGCCTCCCCACGGGCAAAGCGACTTCCCAGCAGGTTGGTATGACATTCAAGCCCTGCACTGGCAGAGTTGGCACACCAAGAAGCTGGTTCCCTGCTCCTACCCTCAGAGGCTCCCAAACCTCAGAAAATAAAGATGTTTTAATGGTGGACTGCTTTATAGAAGAGTGCAAAAGACGAGTTGTTCAAGGTGGCTCATGGGAGCTGAACACTGCCCTAGAGCCTTACCTAACGCTCTACCATGCAGCAGTGAAGATGGCTGCTGGTGGAAACCACTCTGTCCTGAAGAAAAGTGCCATGGCCCCTGAATGGGGTTTGCTGTGTAACCAAAATGGGCTGGGAACCTGCCAGATCCCCCATCACCTTCTGCGTCTCCAAGAGTTAAGGAAGGTGCAACTATGGTTGGCTTAAGCAACAGCCCATCAAGAGAGGTGCATTTCTTGCAGCTGTCCCTACCCGGAGGGATTGGAGAGAGGGCACCAGCACTGACCTATGCTCCGTATGTCAATGGTCACATCCACGTAGCCATGCTCAGCACTGTGGTACATGGCCTCCTTCAGGGCTTTCAGCTTGGCCTTGCTGTTGCGGCTGGCACAGAGCGGAGCTGCCGCCGAGTCAGGCAAGTCCGTCCCCTCGGCAAGGATCTCCTCCAGTGACAGAATATCGCTCTTCTCCTTCTCCGGCTGAGCAAGCAGCTTGCGAAAGACGTTCCTGTCAATCACAGCATGACAGAGACAGGGAGAGGGAAAGAGGGTGGGAGAGCAGAGTCAGCGGCTTGGCTTTCTTTGTGCCCTGGATACTTGCTGCAGTGTGGCAAGTTAGGACACCTATCCAGGGTATTCCTCCAATCAATGGAAGGACCGGCTGAGAGCAGTCCCGAGGCAAGCAGTGCTCCTACTAGCCCACCTGCACTGCCTGGGCCACATCTGCAAGACACTGCTGTCATGACAGAAACCATACAGATGTCACATGAGTAGCAGCATCTCGTGGGAACAGAGACCCATGAGCTAAATGTGACTCAAGACTTCTTCCCCCAACCAGGGAAGCCCAAGGTGCCTCTGGGCAAGCTCTTGGGACTTTCACTATGGAAGCCACTTAAGAAGTGAGCTGCCTGGAGATACCAAAAGCACCACCACTCCATTAACACTCAAAGCAGTCTGGGAAAGCTGGAGCAGCTAGACAATAAACAAGGACAGTCAGGGCAGGTTCGAGCACATCTGGGACTACTCTGCAAAGCCACTGATCCAGTTGGGCCATCAAATAGCAAAGTCCAAACTCAAGAGACTTGGTGCTCTCAGGTTCATACCAGTGTAACCTCACTGACAGAGTCGCCCTCAGTTTCGCAGCTATGAGAAAAGAAACGAGCCTGGTCCCCATCCCACCTCCCTCGTGCTCCGATGCCCTCCCTGCACCTGCTCAGACCCCAGCATGGGGTGGCAGCAAGGCATGGCGTATCCCAAACAAATCTGCAGCAGAGAGGGAAGGAGGAGAGAATGTGTGTGAGCAGTGTACAGGTATAAAAGCCAGGGCCTACAACATGCGCAGCCAGCAGCCAAGCTGAGGAGAGCCCCAGGTCCTCCTCAGGCACACGGCTCCCACTCACACCAGCTGGCAGCAAGGCCGGAGCAGTGAACGTAAGACTCCGATAACCACACTGCCCTTTCTGTCCCAGGGATCCCTCGCAGGCTCCAGATGGGCAGCGTTGTGCGAACCCGCCCTGACATGCCGTTAGCATGTTGTTAGACTGGCAGCTTGTCTCTAAGCAAACAGACGGTAGGTACTGTCTCTAACCTGTATCTATGTTCCTCTGGATGGCTACAATCAGAAAAGTAGGAGCGTGAAGATCATTATACTAGTCCATTACACTGCAGTCAACTCCTGAGCGTTGCAAGATCATGCATGCCAGATGCTCATTTCATTACTTTTTTTAAAAATTTCCAGCACACATACGCACAGGACACACAGGACTTTACAGTAAACACAGATGCAGAAACTCTATTCAACAAAAACTAAGGCTGCAGCAGTACAGACATGATTCGCTCAAACCTGAGAAATACGGCAAGAAATTCAGAAGGAATGTCTTTGTCATTCCTTTCTGCTGTCACATCAGCTGCCATTTAACAACCACTGCATTTCAACACACTACAAGGAGCCCCCTTCCTTTTTGTAAAAGATCAGGTATCAAAAAGCAGTTTTGTACCACCAACTGGTTAAATTCACATGCTAGCAAAAAGCCTTACATCTCTGCTCAGTTGGTGGCATGTTCAATTGTTCATGCAGAACTTTCACCCGTCTGCTCAAACCAGACACCCAGGCAAAAAGTAAGCACTTGAAGGATGCCACTAGACTTGTTCCCACTCTACCTGTGTCCATGTGCAGCAGCCTGACTGAAAGAGTTCATGTCACCTTGTGGAGTCATGGAAATGCCATTCCTGTACATTGTTCCTATCATGGGGTCAGCTCCTCGCTCCAACAGCAAACTGACCAGTTCAAAATTTCCTGCAAGTTAAGATATACATTTTTACTTCTTTTAAAATCCAGTATTTGCTCACCTAAACCACAGATCCCAACTGAAGTAATTATTACAGTGGAAGGAGAAAGTCCTTACCAGCAGCTGCTGCCAACTGTAAAGGAGTTTCAGAGTAATTTTCCTCTCCATGCTCCAAGGAACCTTCTACCTTTGCTCCAGCATCCAACAACAGCTAGAAAGAAAATTCACCATTTAGAGCAACTGGGGGGTATGACAGCGTTCAGAGTTCATGAACAGTGACGAATGGAAGTCTAATGCTTCTTATTATCTGCAAACCAGACACAATGGAGACAAGTGACATGCAAATTCTGCCCATTGTTTCACAGAGGCAATCTGATTCCTTTTTTCGCTCATTTTACGCTGCCAGACACCAGGAGCACTAGTGTCCCACTTCAGAGCCAAAAAAGTGTAACCCAGTGTTTCTGAACAGGAAATGGGGTAAGGTCAGTGTTAGGAAGTAATGTGCTGAAGATGGAAGTACTGAAAATTAGCCCGACAAGCCCTTCCTTCATGGTCTTCTAGAAGCCCAGCACCATCCTAAAATGGATCAGATTTCAATTGCCTCCATCTTTTATATAAACACATGGCCAAAAGAAAGGCAATTCTTAAGAACTTGATTGCAGCAATGAGTCCAAAATCTGTGATCTCCATCAGGGACACCTCCACGTAAATAACAGCTGAAAACAAAAGTGGCCAAGGAAAGCAGGATGAAGCCTGTCCTCCAGCCCCCTCTTGGCCATTTCTGTCTTGAGGCCTTCACAGTTTTGGCACTTCGTTAAGTGTGCCACAGACACAGCTGTTTTGAAGAATAAACCTTCTCAGTTTTTGAGATGCCAATGCACAGAACCAGCATATCTCACGAGACACATCGATGGGGTGAGGAGAGCAAGTGCTTCTCCCCCTTTGGAGCGGCACAAGGGCTGTTGTCCACCTCTCCCCCACCAAGGGAGAGGCTCTGTGTTTGCTAGAATATTAGAGTGTGAGAAAGTGTAATGAATGAATAAACAAACATATAAAACAAGTGGTCAGGAAGGAGCACAAGGAGTTGTCAGACTTTCTTTGGTGCAACTTTGCTTTAAAATTGTCCTATTTAAACCTCATATTGGTTAAGGTTTGAATACCATATTCGCTATACAATAGGTCTATTATGTATCAGTACACTCTAGAAGAAGCAGAAGTAACCAATATGAGTATGACAAGAGGATACTGGTTTGAGATGGATGTAATCAGAACTGAAGAGGAGAAACAAAAGAATGAGATGCAGGTAGGGAAATACAATAATACCTGAACTACAGGAATATGTCCATGCAACACAGCAAATGTCAGAGCTGTCCAATGGCGGGTCTCAGGGTGGACGGATGGGTATTTATGAGCAGTACTGACAACCTACAAACAAATTAAAGTTATTTTTTTAAAGAGCTATACGTAATAAAGTTCAACCTGCCTGAAAGCCAGGCATGTGAGGGAGTAAGTGAAATAGAAAACCTGGGAAAAATGCTTTATAAAATGATTGGCTTCATTTTTTTTCCTGCAAAAATTTTCTCAATATTAAAACTGTTCATGCTGATTTGACAGCCTGAATAGAGGTTCATACCAAATGAAGTCTTTTTACCAACTACTGTAGCTCCATCTAAACCACTGGCCACCAGGTACTTTTGCACAAGGTAAAAACATCCACAGCTGGTTACAGCAGCACACACTGGGGAAGAAGGGACGGATCAGGACACTTACAGCTAAGGACCGCTTCACAGACTTCTCCAGACCATGTTATAAACAGCCCTGGGTCTTGAGATTGCTCCAGGCCCAAATAAATTCTTTTCACATAAATCAGTGTAACTTATGTCACTACCATCATGAAAGACACATCACAAGCCCTATCCTGGAGTCCACAGGTGTGTTTCCAGGCTCCTCCTCTCCCTCCAGAGGAAAAAAAGACAGCTGAGAAGTGATGGGGCTGAGTGGCACTTCAGAAATGTTTTAAGAAAACTGCCTTCTCCTGTCTGAGTTCAGTTAAAAGAGCAGGGTGGTGACAGTTAAAAGAGATACAAACTATATCCTTAGAAAACAAAATGGTATTTTTTACATTGCTTCTTCCATTTTCTACGCCTTAGTGCCTGGTGCCTCTAATGTAGACATTGGGGAAGATGAATAACCACTCCCTGCTTCAGTTTCCCTGTCTTAAAGATGGGGATATTAATATTGATGAGGTTCACAGAGATGGTAAAATCTAATGAACGCTTGCAATCCAGCACTGCACACTCAGATGGAATGTGACACTAAAATTCAAAATCTTATTATTGATCTTCAGAAGAGGACTAAAATCAGAGTAAAAGATGCATGATCTCTCTGTCTCATCAGCCAGCTGTGCTTTCACTACCTTATCTGAAGTACTTTCATACACGTAGGGGAGCAGGGCCAGTTATTGAAAGCTCAGTTGCATTAGCAGCTCGCATTTCCAAGCACCACATGCAGAGTTTTGCTAGAAGCACATGACCAGGTCCTCAGACCCAAGGAGGGACTGACAGGGCAAAATCTGAAGAGCCCCTGTAGATCCCACAGCTTGCCAGAGGAGCAGATCTGCACCTGGCTGGTTTTGCCCAGATTTGCCAAAGAGAGAGCTCAATGTGCAACAAGAGAAGTGTGCTGGCCTCTGAGCAAAGGCATGGGGCTTCTTTGGGTCTGGATTTGCTCAGAAGGAAGAGGATCGAGCAGCTCGAGCCTTGGGATTTAGGCTGGGGAGCAAGAGCAGCGGAGGGTGAGGATGGGCAGGATCATAGCTCAGTAAATGCATCCAGCTCATCCTCAAGCATGGATTCCCACCACTGTTCAGGGCAGCCCACAGCAAGCAGAAAAGAAAATGAAGTCATTTTAACTCCTTTGCTCCTTTTTTTTTTTTTTTTTTTTTTTTTTCCCCCCCTTTTCCCCCCTTAGAGTCCTTTCCGTACACACAGTGCTTGCAGAAGACCTGTGGTTGACTGGGCTTTTAAGGCCTCAGTTGAGATTTGCTGAGCAGCTACAGGTCCCACTGACTCCAGAGTGAATTGCAGCTTCTCAGCACATCTGGAAATGAGTGCATTTTCACTAAAGATGGGCAATCAAAAAGGGAGGCACCCAGCATTTGAAGCTACTTTTGGAAACATATATATATATAACTGATTTGCAAAGTAAAAGGGGGAAAATGATGCTGGCACCTGACAGAGTATTTATTTTTGTTCATGGTTGATTTGCCTTTTTTTTTTTTTTTTGCTGTAATTGCCCAATTTGCACAGTTGGTTGTGGTGTGCACAAATCATCTTATAATTGCACACCATAATTATTCACAGTTCTTGTCTCAGAGTGTTTTCATTTGATTTTAGAGCAAACACTATACAAAAATGAATCAAGGAGGTTCACATTCCTCACTGGAGCTGTTCTCTCAGATGTCAGCAGTTTCAGGAAGACAAAACTGTTTAAATTTGCATTTGGTTCAAGTCTGGAAGATTACTGGAGCAACTGGGAGGACTGCTCCTAATAAAAACTTGTCCTAAGAACCAAATAATGCCATGTCACCTTCTAAGCCACAGGGAGGGTTACAGGAAAGATCAGTCTCCATGCCATCCAGTCTTTGGTGTGCCTCTTGAGAGTGCTAACAAGAGTTTGAGTATTCAATTATTGACAGCTCTTGAGGGTGGTGTGCTTGAATTTGGGTAACTGAAACCAGCGGCTGATTTCACATAAGCCACCAAACAGCAATCACATAGTAAAGACTGTCAGTCTCTTGCAGGCACACCCATTTCTACTTTTAAATTAGATTTTTTAAAAGTGAAAAACATCTGGCTGAAAGCAGTGAATACAATTTATCAGCTTGCTCAAGTCCAAACAGAACAGATGGAACACAGATAAGTGAAGCAGACAAATTAATTTACTCATGACCTCAACAAGTTAAAACTGAAATCATTAACAAATAATTTTTTCACCGATTTTCAAAAAGCTCTTTAAAAATGTACATACCTGCATTGCACAGAGTCGGACCACAATCTGTTTAGTGGACAGATTGTGTAAGTTTGTGATGTGCATTCATCAAAGAGACGTTTATATTCTGAAAGCTTCAAGCTCCTCAACTAAAAGTTTTTAGCCCAAGGCTCTTTGTAAAACAAAGCAGTGGAACTTAACATTGCTCTTGTGTGGTGGGGATGCTTCGCTGGAACATCCCAGTGCATAGAATGCTCACACTTTGGCAGGTTATCAGATGGGTGTTTCTTTTACCCGCTTCATTTTAATTCAGCTGGGAACAGGGGAGTTCTTCCAATGTCATTAGAGCTGTGCTCTGTGCTAGTGCTAATGCATGTATTCATTTGCAGCATGCAAACACAACTAAATCACTATTACCTGTGGTGTAAGTCTGATGACTTGACCCCTGCTGTGCAGTGAATCCCAGTGTTAACCTAATCCAGTTTGATGTCATTGTTCATTTCAAGTGGTGCCTTCCAGGATAAGACAAATTTATTTTCTTTTTAATTCTTGTGATTTTCACCCCGCTACAGTTTCAGAGGGGAGTTTAAGATGTAAACAAATAACAGGAAAAAAGATACAACCAACAAAATGTCCTCACCTCAGCATTCAGATCTGCTCCAGCATCTAGCAGCATCTGCACCATAGCCTCATCACCCCTGACACAAGCATACATCAGTGGAGTCATGCCCTAGTCATTTTTTGGAGTTAAAAAACAAAGGAATTGACAAATTTAACACAGAACTCTCTTTGATTTTTTAAAACAATTATTTAAGTATATATCATCAAGACTAACAGTATGTATTTAATGAAAGCCATTACCTCTGTTACAGACATGCCCCTCAGAATAGCAAAAGCCAACCGCTTTTGTAAAATCTCCATTTCTGTTATCTCTTGTGCCAACTGGGTTTTTTTCATCTTATCCTTGACAACCTCACCATGGTGAGTAAAACTAGGCTTGTCAGCCTCACCTCCATCTTCATATACTAAACCAGACAATTTCATCTTTGGGGCCTCAGCAGAGAAATGTTTTTTATCAAAGCAACCATACTTCCACAGGTATTTTAAAAAGACAGTAATTCTATTAAGTTTTCTATGATCACAGTTTCATAAAATCTAACATTTTAACTACTGAAAGAGCCTTTAAAAACACCCCAAGTTCCTCTTAAGACAGGTTAGATTCGGGCACACCTTTTTCAATATGAATACTATAAGGGACTGGAAATGTAAAGGCTTTGTATAGCACGCCCTAGCAAACAAGGACTTAATTTTAAATGGAACGCCAGACAGCATTGTTGCAAGTTGCTGGCTCTAGGAAAACATGGTCCTGTTTGGAGAAAAAGCAGATTAAGTGACCCTTCAGTACAGAACCACCACAATGCAATTTTTATTAATCTGAAATACCTGCTGCAGCTGATCACCATTTCCCCTAAGATAAGTCTTAGTGTGGTAGTGGTAATGAGTCCAGATTAAACCATGAAAAAAATCGTTAAAACTACAATAAATTATAACAGAAAAATAAGCTTATTAAATACAGTAGGGGGTCTTGATGAACAGCCACCAGTTGTTTTTGCAGTAAATCTACCGCAGCATGCAGCTACCTCTGATGCATGTTTATAGCCTACCTTGAGGTCCCCTGGTAAATTTGCCCGTTTGCTGTTTAACCTGAGTGCTGCTGCAAAGTGAAGTTATTTTCAGAGAAAGTGGAGGTGCCCAGCAGGGCCAGACACAGACTCATGGCACTGCTCTTCCTAGCAAGAGCCCAGCATCACTATTTTTGCTAAACTACCCCATTTTTCATGTTTGCATGCAGGGCTGAAGTTTGTAGATGTTTATGTATTGAAGGGCTGATCTTGTAGAGAAAATATAAATTAAGGTGCTTGGATCCCCCCTGAAACACATTGAGCATCTCATGGGTTCAAATCTGCAGTGTACTTATGGAAATACAGACTAAGAGAATAGGCATTTGGGGCTTCATGCCATTACTAAGAAAAAACAAGTTCACCCCAGGCAATGAGAGTTCTTGGGTGACTTGAAGTTACTTGCAAAGAGAATTTGAAAGTACTTCAGCTACAGTCAGTGGCAAAACATTTCTTTTGGCAGTCAGTAAACACTAGAAAAAACAGGATCACGAGAATTACAAAAAACGTGTGTTTGGGCCTTGAAACACAGGGATGGGATGGCAGCTTAAAATTAAATACATGTTCCTTCAACTACTTTTTCAGTTTATGTAAGTGGTGTCAATCAATTATTAAGTGTTTAGCACAAGGGGTCTAATCAGATCTGAAGAAAAGAGTTTGAAAACCTGGAGCCGGGGCTCCCCCCTGCAAGACGCAGCATGTGGGCAGCCGCAGCAAACAACCCTGCAGCAATGCCCAGAGTAAAGGGTCTGCCTGGGGACCACGTGGGTTATTTTGGCCATGATGAAGCTGAAGAAGGACTTATCACTGACTAAAAGGGAACCAGAATCTCATGCTGCAGTATCAGGATTTTAAAGAGTTAATGAGGTTTCTATCCTCCCCTTCCTTTGCACTGCTGTCCCTACTGCTTTTTGCCTCTGAGAGTCCCCCCCGAGGCTTGCTCTGCAGCTCAGCCTTGGGCTGCAGCATCATTCAGCACCCCTCTCTTTGCACAGGGGAGGAATGGATTTTTAACGAGCCCATCGTTGGTGTTCCATGCACACAGAGGAACAGGGTAACAACGTGTACAATCAACGCAAAGGGAATTTTGCTTTTGGCAAAACAAAAAAATTATTCTCTTTCTTTGAGCCTTGTATCACTTAGGACTCTGTCCTGCAAGACGTGGGATTCTACAAGACGCAGAATCTTTGATTCAGCGAAGCATTTAGGCACAGGCTTAACTTTCACTCAAATAGGATGTAAGCATGTGTTCGGAGTTAAGCATATGATTAGGTACTTTGACGAATCAAGCCAGAGTGTTCCCAGGTTTCAGCCTGGAGGACAGAGGAAATATGCTGTGAAGTTTCCAGGTTCAGATTAACTTATTCTTTTAATAACAAGTTCTTAAAGTATGTAATAATAATAATTTAATAATAATTTTTAAAAGTATAACGTATGAACCTTGGAATGAGCAGTCTGATGCTATTTTTTTTCAGGGAGTACTGCCCTCTTTAAAGCTTTTCTCAAATGAGCCCACAATATTGACTCAGACCGAAGCTACTGAATAGCAACATAACTGACACTCTTGGATCAGCTTTCATCTCAGAAGATCTAAACCCACTAACAGTCTAGCTCTTGTCCCAAGTGACCACCTCAGGAGCAGCAGCCACTTGCCTCCTGCCAAAGAGGATGCCACAGCTCTGGGAACGTACAGTGACATTTTCATCAGGGACACCAGAAAATTCAGGAGACTCTGTTTCAAAAGGAAATGGTAGTATCCATGGCCATCGCTTCCCTCTGGGAAGGGGGAACCACTTTGGTGATCATCACAGTCCAACAGACTGCTGCCGGTAGGTAGCTGCACAGGCAGGTTTATCCCTGGACACAACCAGCAGCTTCACAGAGGTGTAACTTCAGGGAAATTTAGGCTCCTCAGTTGGTGGATGTTGGCCACAATGACCAACAGAGGGGTAACTCTGCAGATAAACTTTCATGTCTGGAAGGTCAGTTCAAACTGTGCTGAACTCAATTAAAGAGTGCCAGCAATTAATTGTTTCCTGCTGGAGGCTCGGTGGCGCATGTGAAATACCTTGCAGATCCCAGGGCAGTGTTCGGTGGAAGGATGTTCACCTCACATAGCCTGGCCCCATACCACTGATCATGGCATTGAAGCAGTTTTAAGTATTCACATCAACACTAAGCTCTCTTGGTATCTCCTGGCTTCACTAGACTCACTCAATTCATTGTTGAGCAGATTTCAGGGGATGCATTCACCCTCATGCTGTGTTACCTCAGCACCAACGAATCCATACAACTCAAAAAGACTAAATTTCATGTAGATGTTCATCTGACAGTGCTTTAGCTAAGTACAAAGTAATGCAGAAAAAGCATAAGATCCTGTCTATGTTTAGCAGAAAGTTGGGGCTAGTTTTCTGTGATAAAACACAAAACTCTCACATTTCACAGTTGCTTCTTTACATTTCTATCTTGTTACCTGTTCACTCATGCTGTTAATCCCATCTGGCCCCAGCAAGGATATGGCTTGTTTAACCAGATCTGTTCGGCCACAGTTGAGCATCCGGAAACCCAGATCCTGCTTGAACTTTGCTTCAGTGGCAACTGCATCCAGTTTCCGAGATGCACAAAAACAGTCGTCGATTCTGTGGACATAAAAATAAACTCCTTCAGAGGACAATCAGAGGGCAGACTTTGCCCTATCTTTGAAGGATGTAGGTCATGCACACATTCATTCTCCTTTGACCTATATGTTCAAGGGAAGTGCTGAATGGGAAATGCTAATGGGAGCTAATGGAGATTGCCCTCGGTCTATCTTTCATGGGACAAGTTATACATTTTATAAAAAATCAGGCAAAAAAAGCAGTGTTCAATTGATTTTGTTTCCCTGTTTAAGCACTGCACAATACATTCTCACCACAAGTTTTCTCTCTGTATGGCAAGGTTATCTGGTCCCCCTGATCTCTGAAAAGTTTCAGTAACTTCAGTAAGCTTTGAACATGCATCAAAAGGATGTATAGTCATTGACGATACAACAAAGAGAAAATAATGTCACTCCAAAGACCTTCAAGGGTTTTAGCAGCCCAGCCCCAGAAACAGGGAAGCTTTTTTGGAGCAGAAAGTGTAAATCTCAGAATCCCAGTCTGGGTGAGGTTGGAGGGGACCTCTGGAGGTCATCTGGTTCAATCCCCCCTGCTCAAGAAGAGCCACCTGTAGATCAGGGCACCGTGTGATCAGGGAGAAGGCAATCTTGCCAGGTAAGCATGGCAAAATGCCACAAATCCTTGCTGGCTGTGTCTAACAGACGACATGTCATTCTTTTCAGGTCTTATTCAAAATATCTCCAAACCGTAAACTGCTCAAGACATCCATTTCAAACGGAGGAAGGGCTAGGAGTTATTTAACCAAGATGTTAATCTACAGTTCCAGAGAGAGATAGGCAATTCAAATCTGATGTTTATCCAACTTGGTTTCATCATATTAGAAGTCAGATTTGCTTTTATTTCATGCTGAGGAGTGTCTGGGGAAGAGGGTGGAGTCCAAATCCACAGTGATTTTTGGTATGAACTTGGATAAAGGACTTGAGAAAAAGACCACTTTTATTCTCCAAAAAATGCTAGGTCAGAAAATTAAGGGCTACTTATGAATGAAAAACAAAATAAAGATCAAAAGTTAAAAAGTCAAATATACATCAAATATTTGTTTTCTATTTCATATGCTAAAAATGCTGCAAACCAAAAGAAAAAGAAAAACAGCACATCATCATTTAAATTTCTTCTTCAAAGTGCTTTATCATAAAATATATAACACTGCTTAATATTTAACAGGAATGTGCAAGGAATATGCTGTTTATATAGAAGCAGTGGTATGTTGTTCTAGCTACCACTCTTCCTCTTTCAACAGAAGGAGGAAAGTGAAATGGAAAATACAAAGTATTTTGATCAAAGCTTCTACAGAACTTTGTATTGAAACTGGCATCTGAGCTCAAGCTTGCTCTCTGCTGTGCTGGGCCATGACTAGTCTGGAAGAAAACAGATATTTTGTTGATGTTCATTCTAACGTGCTCAGTTTGGGTTTTGATTGCTAAAAAGTTGATGTCTTAAGAATGCAAACAATGTATGCTTGAAGTATCATTACTCAGGGGAACAAGGACGACGCTTCATCACAACAGTATGCTGGAAGATTAATGCACAACACTTGGTCACAATAAATACACCATAACAGCAATAACAGATTCTGAACCAGTAATATGCCTACAACAGAGATAGAAGAAAGCAACACATAGCAAGGCTGGGTTTTCTGCAGTAGTTTCTGAGCGAATTTAAAGAAAAAAGCAAAACCAGCACAGATATGCAGGGCTGAGCTCAGTGACACAGATCCACGGGAGCAATTGCGGCTCAACACGTTCACACTGTATGGCACATTTCTGACACAAGAGCTACAGCAACATTTGGTACTTGCTATACCTCCATAGCATGAGATGCTAGGGATCATCTGTGCCCTCCTTTAACGTATGGCAAAGATAAAGCATGCTCAGAAGTTAGGCGGTGGGCGTTTTGGTGCACAGAGAGAGAGTCTGGACCTCCCAGCTGCAGCTGCCCATTTCCAGATGACTCTGGGCTGAGAACGAGGTGGTTCCTCAGCAAAGTGCAGCTATGGAAAGATCTAGACATCTTCCGAGGACTGCAGAGGTGTCTGCTACTATGAATCACTGCCTGTGTTAACTCACTGCTTCATCATTTGTACTGAGGTATATAACATACACTCTGAATAAAATGGGTCAAACTCAGTGCTGGCAGAAACAGGCAGAGCTTCACTGATGTCAGCCTGGCTCGGTGCATGTGAAATGATAGTTGATGATCTCCTCTTTTAAGAAAGCCAGATTTTGACCTGGGTTGCACACCCACACAAGGGAGGAAGGAGGAACAAGAACCTATCTCACCTATCCTGTACAGGCTGCCCAGATCTCTAGTCTGGCATGGGTTCAGAAAATACTTCTCCATAAGTAACTCCTGCATGAGTTGGCTCTGGTCCCCTAAAAGCATGTCAGTTTACCTGCCTACTAGCCAAGGGGACCCACTGATTACTGCTGATATTGGGTATCAGCAAATTAGTATTCCTCAATCAGCTCAGGGATAAGGGTCTTGGTCCAAGGGCTCCAGGATGCTACAGTTGTACAAACATTGCAAAAATAACAAGGATGCAGAAGAAAGCCTAGGCTGCACAGCTGCTAGGACACCAGCACTGATGAAATGTGATCTAGGCCAACTACTGCAAAGCAGGAAACCACAACTTAGTACCACTACTAGTGGCCCACTGCCATTTTATACCCCCAAAAGGGCCCATTGTGAGCGAGTTACAAACCCAATTTATGGGACATAAAAGAATACAGCAAATACAGCAAAAATTGACATAGATCATTGCTGGTACCTCCATTGTCACATGTTGAGTAATAAAACGCATAGTGATCAAACCAGGGAGTTTAATAAAACAAGAGCATGATGCAAGGGAAAGGAACGGAGGATGCTTCAGAAGAGAAAGCACAGCAATGTCTCAAAAAGCCAGAGAGATGAACAAGTTAAGAAAAAGATTTAACATGTACAGATAAAAAGCAGTGAAGAGACAGATCAAAAATTATCAGGAACTGGAAGTACAGAATAGGAGAACACAGCACCACTTTTAACACTGGAGAAAGCCAACTGGGAAGACAGTACAGCAGACAGACCAAGCAGTCGCACTTCAGAATGAAACCTGAAAAATCAAAAAAAACCCAAATCCTTCAAAAAACAACCCCAAACCACTGCAGCACTGCATTTGCTACAAAGTCTTCTTTCATACGATTAACTGCATAATGGTGACTCCAGCAGAAGCAGAGGGCCTCTACTCCATATTACACTGTACAAAAGGATGCTGCTCCATTATGGACACCATCCAGAATCACAAACATTAAATGACGTAAGATAAAAAAGGAGGAAGGGAATAGGCACCCAGGCTTGACTCACTCAAGACTTCTTAACTTTGGACTCCAACAAAAACACTGGCAAGCTACGAAGAGATGCAAAATGGATGGGAAGAAGCTTGAGAAATAGGTTGATGAGGAACAGTTAAGTCAGCTAAATATATAGGGTCACCTTTCAGAATTGTGAAACTGTGCCTCCAAAGCAAGGGAAGCCAGCATAAGCACAAACAGAGCTGGAAACCCCACCAGATGCACAGCCAGTTCATGGTCCTTTTGCCAAAAAGTCTTTCCAAATGCACAGGAGGCTGACACCAGCCCAACGATGGGATGTCCCGTCCAAGGCCACCTTGGTTTGTTGCCAGATTCTGCTGGCTGCCAGCGCTCACACAAGTCGACCTTCCCCCAAGACCTCACCCTGCAGAAAAGGTACTTTTTCATTGAAGGGGCAGGGAAGGCTGACTGGAGGAGCACAAGACCGTGGTGGGGGGCAATGCTCTTCTCCCCTTCCTTCTCCCTAGGTACAGCCTCAGGTTGACAAGACATCGCCACCCCAGATGCTGACTGCTTCAGATGAACGTTAAGGTCCCCCGGAGGTGACACAGTGTCAAAGGTAGGACTGACCAGCATCCTCTGAGAGGGTGACATCCTCTCTCAAAAGACTGAGCCCATTCTGGATGCCCCTATTTAGCAATCTGTGGGGCTGGGCAGGCTCCTTGGCACCATCACCGCTGTACACATGCTCCCACTCTCATAACTGAGACATGATATGCTTGAAGTAATAACACACACGGATCATAGTCCTCATGCTCAACAGCAAATCCACCCCTCTAAATCAGGGGTTCAGTCACACAGCCTGTAAACTCCCTAACTGGTACCCTCCTACCTTGAATCAAGCAAACAATTGCTTTTATAAGTAAAAGAAAAATCAGAAACAGGTGAAATCAAGAAGATTTTATATTTGTAGCAAAGCTGTGACCACATTTTTTAACTTAAAATGCAATACAGTTTTCTTGAAGTCTTCTTTTAATTCCTCATAGATATTGCTTCTACAGCAGTTTTCTCCAAGATCATTACAGTGTTTCCACTGCACATAATTAACTTTACTGTGGCTTTATATGGGGAATGCCATGGTAACATTAATTATTTGCAAATGGTCACTGTCAAATGCTGCATGGTGACCATGACACACTATCGTATTCTGAAATACTCAAATCTCTGAAGGGAGTCAAAGATAATCTTCTTCATTTATAATGGTCCTAGCAGTACAGCAAATTATTTTTATTTTTTCCCAAACTCACATTATGAAAACATAATGCAACACTTCTACAGCAATGCAATGGTTGTGGGGTTTTTTCTTTTCATTTTCACTCAGACTGGCTAAGATAAGAGTCTGTGCAGATCTTTAGTAAGTTACTCATGGATTGAATACATTTGGGAAAACGGATGATTCAAAGGCATCGTAACTGGTTGATACAGCAGCTCTCTTATTACATAGCTTTTTAATTATTTGTTCTTTGGGAGGGGATTATTGCTATAGTCAGTAGTGAACAAGAAAAAGCAATGCTCTGTAAATGTTATCAAAAAAGAAGTAGGAACACCTTAATCATGTTTTAAGCTCTATGTGCTGGCATAGCATGCTAATAGTTGAATTTTTAAAAAATGGAGTGCAGGCTGTGCTGAGGAGCA